CCACTCAACTGTCAAAGCGATCTTCCTAAGGTGCTGTGCTGACCACATCTCCCTCCTACTCAATAAACTCCACTGGCTCTTTATTATCTCTAGGATCAAATATCCTCTTTTAAAGCCCTTTGCAACTGACCCCTTTCTTCCTTTCCAGTTGTGAGAGGTAAGAAGTGATTATATTTCCATATAAGGAAATTGAAAGAAAAGGTAGCTCTATGTCAGAGGTTCTAGAACCGGCTAAAAGTGGATGAAACTGGTTGTTTGGTTAAACCTGTGAGGAATGCTAACAGTTTGATTCCCACGGAATTGATAAAAAAAGAGGACAGGGGGAGATTAGGTTATTGATTAATTGATTTCTTGGTTTATTGGTTTACACAAATATGTAAACAAGGGAGTGAATGGGATAATATAGGGTGAAGCCCCCTCAGAGGAATGAACTAACCCCAACCTTAGTTACTTTTCATATGTATGACTATTGGGAGACTGCACCCAGATGCCTTGCTGCACATTCTGGCCAAACTGGATGTTCCATGTGGCTAGACCAGATGTTCTGGTTGTGCAAAGAGACCACTCCCCTCTAACTTGTTTCGAACTTCCTTCATAGAAGTTAGAATTCCTCGAATAGATTGTGCCCCTAAGATACCCAGACAATGGGTTGAGGGGAAGGGGGTTAGTGCAGGGACATTGTGGATAGGGTCTATATATTCTGCTTTACAAGACACTCAGACGCACACCCTGGCTGGAGCCATCTTGAGGGAATGCTGGGTGTGTCCTTTCTCATGAGAAAGCAATAAAACTCCTTTTTGCCTTTCTTAAGAAAAAGTCTCTGATTTGATCATTCTGGGGGTCACAAACACCCCACACAAACCATAAATAAACATCTTCTCTCACTTCAGTTTAAGTTTTGTTTCTTGAGGGAGGACGGAACTGCATGTGATATGTTTCTAGGGGAGCTAGTGAGTTGTAGCTGCATGCTTGGGCTAAACACTTAACCCTACCAAGGAGTGACTGATCCCCAATTCTCACACAGTCTTCTTATATTTTACTATCTTCCACTTACTCTAGAATCCAGCAACACTATCCTCCTTGCTATTCTTCCACACAATGCTACATCTACTGCTACAAGCCTTATCACTACCTATCCCCTGTGCCTATAATGCTCCCTCTCCTTGTCTCCACCTCTTGGCTTCCCAAGTCTCAGTTAAAATCCACTTCCTGAAAGGACCCTCTTCCATTTTTCCTCAATGCTAGTGCCTTCCTTCTGAAATTACCTCCAATTTCCCCTAAAAACAGCAGGGTTCTGGTAAATATTTAACAACTAAAGCTCTGGAAAAAATGTACTCGTAACACACTTTCAAGTATAATAAGTTATATAATAAGCTAATAATGCAAAGTAACATTATTCACATTTTCTCCATTGCTTTCTTAATAGATGAAAATATGCCCTGAGATTATACTAGAGAATAAATTAGCACCCTTAAAAATTCCATCCCATTTCCATTCAATTTAATACAATAAATAGTAAGTACCTACTACGTATACAGTGTAATTTATAACATAAAGGCAATGCCTTAGGGCCTTGTGTCTAAAGGCTTGTCTAATTAGGCCCTAGATAAGCAGAGGTAGATGCATTCCAACTTTCCAACTCTCTTAACTTTCTTTCTCTGAAAATTATCCAGTCCTTTTCTATTTCTTTGCTTTGTTAAATTTTCTTTTTGACATATTTGATACTTAAAAAATATTTAAGCGTCTTCCATAAGATATATTTGAATCTGAGTGTTTTATCCCCTTCCTTTCTTCCTTTTTCCTCCTTCCCTCCCTCCCACTTCATAATATCCAAAGGGTTGACATCTTTTTCCAGAATGCTTTCTTTGCCTTTGACTTTCTAAGGGGTTTATCCATTTTGTTATACAGAGATTCCATCAGGGATGATGATAATAGTAATAGCTAGTATTTATATAATGCAAAGGACATTACATAAATTATTATCTAATTTGATCCTAATAATAACCTTGTGAGGTAGGTGTTACTATTTTATAGATGAGGAAACAGTGTGAGAGAGGTTAAGTGATTTGTGCCCAGGATTAAGTACTTAGGTAAAACGTCAGAGGCAGGATTTGAACTCAGGTCTTCTTGACTCTAAGACTGTACCCACTATACCACGTTGCTGCTAAAAGCATGGCCTTCTTGGCATGAAGGAGGTTTTGAAGCTCCAGTGTAAGGTGCCAATGATTTGTCCCCCAAGCACATTTCAAATTAGAATTTTTTTCTCCCCACTTTGACTTGATTTCTAATGAACTCCTATTCTGTTATTAAATAAGCTTATTTCATAGAGTAGCTTCCTGGGTTAGTCATGGAGTGGGTTTTTTTTTTTTGTTCTAAATCAATAGTAAATACAATTTTGAACTTCAGAGTCATTCATCTGCATCTTCACCCTCTACCCATATTCCCCTCCTCCCACCAAATTGGCCACAGAGTTTTAGAATGAGAAGGAACTATAGATATCACTGTGATGTAGCAGATTGAATAATCCATTTAGAAGGCAGCATGGTACAGTGGAAAGTGCTCCAGCTATGGAGTAAAAGGACTTGGGTTCAAATCTAGCCTTTTATCATTACTATCTGTGTGATCTTGGTCAAAACACCTCTCCCTTTTCTGGGCTTCATTCTTCTTACCTTTAAAATGAAGCAATTAGACTAGATAACCTCTGAAGGTCCTTCCAGTTATAGATCTATGTTCTTAGGAGACCTAGCTCTAAAGCTCAGTCAGAGTCCTAACTAGTACAGGGGCACTAGGGCTGCCATAAGGCAGGGAAGAAGGTAGTAATACTTCCTCTCTTCAATGATTACCATTTCTGTGTCTCACCTCATGGCTCTCTGCTGGCTCATGCCACCATGAAATGCAACCACCAACGCTGCCACCCCTACTGTCCTGGCACCTCTCTTCCCCCAACACCTGTTGTTGATGAGAACAAACCACCAAATCCAAAATAGCTTTAGAAAGAAATGTATTAAGTCGAGAGAGAGAGAGAGAAGAGAAGAGAAGAGAAGAGAAGAGAAGAGAAGAGAAGAGAAGAGAAGAGAAGAGAAGAGAGAGAAGAGAAGAGAAGAGAAGAGGAGAGAGAGAAGAGAAGAGAAGAGAAGAGGAGAGGAGAGAAGAGGGGAGAGAGAGAGAAAGAGAGAGAGAGAGAGAGAGAGAGAGAGAGAGAG